TTTTGTAGTTGTAAACGTATAAATAGCTGTAATAGAGTAATAATTGATAAAAAAAAATGTAGTTTTATTTGCACTTTACCTTTGAGGATAGACAATGGTGGAGGTGTAAACTGGTGGTGGAAGAGAGGGAGAAGGGAAATAATACTAAAACTTAACTTACATAACATAATGTAACGATAACTTAAAAAATAACTTAGAAAAGATTAAAAAAAATTAGTTTTAAATTATTTTTAAAACTAAAACTTATTTTTTTAAATTTTTATTCTCTGCTTTTTGCTTTCTTTCCTTCACTTCTACCAGCACTTTCACTGGATAGAGGTCGCTTGGTAAAATATCTATCCAAAGAGGTTTGGCTTTGCCTACTTTTTAAAATGTTTCTAAAATGACTTAGTCAAATGTCATTACTCCGAGCAGCAATACGGCCAGTGTGAACTTTTTTGGGATGTTTCTTTTTAATAAAATCAGTCACTTTTCGATAATACCTCAAGATTTCCTTTATCAAGCGAAATCCTTCCATGACGAAGCAAACACGCGGACTGAGACCAATAAACAGAAGTGAATAAAAAATGGCGCTGCAAACTAATGTAACATCGTACTATGATTTTTTGTTCGTATCGTGGAGGAAAAATATGTTCGAATTTCATGTCGTATCCTGAAAATTTCGTATGCTGGGGCGTTCGTACCCCGAGGTACCAATGTACTATAAATTGCAATTTTTCTTAAAATAAATGAAACTGAACAATAAATTTTTGGATATTTAATATATATGAAAACATTTAAACATTGAAATATAATATATAATACATACTTCTTGTGTACAAGAGTCTTGTTGAATGTCAATATCTGGTATCACAGTTATATTAGTTGATCTGCTGAAAAAAAAGTAAAAACTGATCAACACTTATAAAAATCATTTAAATGTAAAACAATAATTGCATAAAAATCTAAATATAGTTGTTACCAAAAATTAACTTTAAATTTTTATTACAAACTTATTTTATAATAAAAACTAAATGGCATTATAAAAATATTGTCAAAACAAGAAGGCAAATTATCATAATTGTTAAAAACAAAATTATATATGATGATGATATTATTCTATGTATATAAGGAATGATCAAAAGGCTTTAGCTGAGCAGCACTCCAGTCATATATATGGTGTTTACCATGTCCACTCGAGTCGTCTAGCTGTGCAAATAGCAAGGAATTTGTTGCATTTAAAATTATATGTGGAATGTACAATATACATACTGATGGTATCATTGCTACCAAATACATTCAAATCAGATCAACATGCTATTGTCCAGTTTTTGGCTATAAAAAGACAAACCAATGGACATTCGATGCAGAATAGTGAAGATGCATGGGAATGTGTGCCTGTTCAAAACCATCATTGTGGAATGGCTTGCAAGGCTCCTCACAGGTCACCATAATAAGCATCCTCATGTTGTAACATTGTCAAGCAGAAGTTGAACACCTTAAATGGGAAGTCCCTGGAGCACCCACCATAAAGTGCTCCAGGGGCTTCCCATAAAGTGCCACCTCTCTCTGTGAAAGTTTCCCACCTTTAGTTTTCTGAAAAAGTCTCTGAAAGATACTTTTTCAGAAAACCAAAGTCTTTTCATGTTATTGTCTTACTGGAACCGTCACTCTGAAAGAGTGACGGTTCCAATAAGACAATGACATGAAAAGACCTGTAGTAGACTTTATTATGCAGCAGCCAATGGCACTTTTTTATGTTTTATAGGCATTATTCATCAATGGGACAATTTCCTCAATGCCATTGGTGATCTTTTAAATAAAATGAACCTATCAGGCCCTATAGCACTGGAATAAAAACTTTTTGATCATCGCTTACATATTATTAAACAGTATAAACAAAATTATGTTGGTTACAATTGAAAAAAAATATATTTTTATTCATGTATCATTTAAGTCATTCTTAGAATTTATCATAATTGTTTATTTAATACAGCATCTAAGAAAGTATAATAAAAAAATATCAAAATAAATTAATCTAAGATTATTTCTATCTCTAATTATAAACTATATATAAAATAACTTTTAAGTGAATATTTTTACATATGAAAGATATTCTGTTAAGATGACATCATTTTTAATAACCTTTATTAGGAAATTTTGTTTAAAGTTAACAGATAACTAATAATTACTTTTACTTACTTACTCTTTTCGAGATATCATATCCTTTAAAAACAGCATTTGGTGGAAGAAATTCCACTTAATATTTTGAAAACAATATTCTTCAGAAGGATCATCATCTGATTTAGTAATTATTGCTTGGTGATAAAGATTTCTAAAATGGTCTATAAGGTTTTTCCATAACTTTTTACAAACTTCTTCTACAAAAGAAAGTTTAATATTAAAATAAAAAGATATATTTACTTTCTCAATTTAAAAAAAAATTAATTAAATTCTGTTAAATTCAGCATATTATGTTGAAATCTCTGACTTGAGAAATTGTAAATTCATAATAGGCAGTGAACTGTATCACTATTCATTACTATCAAATGCACTGTATTTATTCTAATCAATATTAGTTTAGATTTAGGTTTATTTGTATATGATAACGTGGCAACCTACTGAAGGGGAGATGCCTTCTGGAATGACTTTCTAGGGGAAAGTTGCTCATATTTAAGAAAACCCAGAAAACTCCAAGTGGCCAGCCCTTTAACAAGGTGCAAACCCACGATCAACTATCAGTGTTCAGTGGTTTTATCCACTTTGCATCTGGTGGGCTCCATATTAGTCACAAATATCTCTAATATATATAATTAAATTTGTATTGAGATGATCAAAATTGACATCTTATACTCTTATCAAAAATAAAATATGTTTCCTCTTTAATATATGTAATTAGAGTGAAAGGGGAAGCTTTTGAAACAAATACAGTAGAACCTCGATTATCCGGACTAATTGGGGATGAAGGTAGTCCGGATAAGGAAAAATCTGGATAATCGAAACAAATACTTTGTCTTTTAATGATAATACATGTTTTGTTTTCGATGACATATCGGTAATATTAAAGTAAATACAGTATTTAAATCGTGATCAAATTTTCAAGAAACAAACGTTCGTATTGAATTTGGACTACTACTGACCAGCGCTAACAGACTACCTATTGTTTAAAAAGCCCTCTGGTGGCGCAAGAAGACGGATTTTATAAAATAAAAAGCAGTTGAAACTGCATTTTTATGAATAAAAATTTGACAAACTATTTATCGTTTTATGACGAGTAAAATTTTTTCGTCTCGTTCACGGCTTTTAAGTAATGCATAAACCTTCGAGGCGCGAGGCCCTTCGGACAGCGAGGCATAGGCGGTGGCCCACGTCGTCCATGCCTTACGCCGCTCTTGGTCATAGAAATTATGTAATTTGAATGTAAATTATTTATAAATGCGTATGGAAAGTTATATTTTTATTACGATGTAAAATATATTTAAGAGATTACGACCACTGTGCTGGGTGTGACGTTGTTGAAACAAAAAAAGTTATGCATTCCATCGCATACATAAACAGTGTCGTAATTCGCCAAGTGCAAATCAGCAAATTCGTAAAACTTTTGTTTATTTTGAACAATCCGGATAATCGAAAATCCGGATAATGGAGGTTCTACTGTATATATATGAGTATGTACAGTACAGTATGTTTACAACATTCTAAACCAAGTGTAATACAAAATATGTTTGAAAAAAACTGTAAAATTAAAAAGAATTTTTAAAAAATCCATAAAAATTCTAAATTATCATCAATGCTCCCTAACAAGCTACATTAAAATAAATACTGAATTTTTTGTAAGAAACAATAATTTATTTTTTAATTTTCCTCTGAAAGTAATAAGAGTTTTACTCTCTTTCTTTTTTAAAATTTTTTTTATTTGTTCAAATCCATTTGGCCAGATCCACATTAGGTCAGTTTGATAGTGAGGGATCAGGTCTGATATATCCAGATAAAACCATCAATGAAATTTTTTTTGAATCTAACATATATTCAAGCCTTGCATCCTCTGTGCAACAGAGTGACATCGTTTACCATCTTAGCCATCCAGTTGTCATTAATTTTATACATTATATGATATACCAGTATTAATTTTCATATATACAGTACAGTATTTCCAAGGATAAGAAGGAGCAGACGTGCTGGATCTGTAATGTCCACCACTCCACCTCTGTATCTAAGCAACAAAAATTCTTCGAAATGGTAATGTTGGCTAATCAAATATGATGTTACAACTTTTTTTTTTATAACTCAAATCTCTTGCAAAATGTTGGATATTTAAAATAGTTTATAACGATTTAAAAACATCTTATAGTTTAATAAAATACATTATGTATTATGTTCTACTCCATAATAAATAAGGAATTATTTTCTTTTGCATATGTAGGCATTTTAACATCTGCCCAACTCTTATTCTGGGAAAGACTAGTTCTCTGTTAATTATTTATCAGCATAAAACTATTAATAAATAAATTACACATGTTATATTTTAATGAATCCTCCATAATAAGCTGTATAAAAAAATAGTTTAATTAAACATTTCTGAAGAAATGTTTAATTAAACTAAATTAAATTAAGTGGAATTTTCTCTAATTTTTTTTCTTTACATGAATTTCAAGGAAAAATTCTAAAAACTTAAAATTATTAAAGTACAGTAGAACCTCTATTATCCGGACTAATTGGGGATGAAGGTAGTCCGGATAAGGATAAATCCGGATAATCAAAACAAATACTTTAATTTGTCTTTTAATGATAATACAACACGTTTTATTTTGTATGGTGCATATCGGTAATATTAAAAGTAAATACTGTATTTAAACCGTACAAATCAGCAAATTCGTAAAATTTTTGTTTATTTTGAACAATCCGGATAATCGAAAATCCGGATATTGGAGGTCCGGATAATGGAGGTTCTACTGTATTTCATATTAATTATATATTATAAATTGAATTTAAAATTAGCAAAAATAATTTCTATCTTAAAATTTCAAAATAATATTAATGTTTTTTTTTGTTTTTAATAATTTGTACATATTAATATAAATTAATAAATTTTTAAATTAATACAATAAGCAAGTAAAATATTTTCAGTGTCACGTGAGTAATAAAAAAAATGGCGACGGCCGTCAACATCATCGTGTTTCAAAGAACTTCCGACAGACCGCTGAAACATCAAAATTCCTTAAGGAAAACCTGCAGCTCGAATTACAAACAGGGAGGGGAAAAAATTACATAATTCATTGCCATTATTTCAACATTTAAATGGATTATTATTTTAAAACTATTTAATTTAAATTTGATATTTTTTAAATTCCGACTTTTCGTAAAGAAAATTCTTAGAAATAAAATATTAATGACTAAAAATTAAAAAAAAATAAACAAGGTATTTAAATTACAAAGTAACATTAAATATCGAATTGCAAAGCGTAACAAAAAAGAAATTAAGCAAAATCTTTAACATAATTGTTAACATTTATTTTTTATTATTATTTTCTAATCTAATCAATTTTATAAATATAGAAAATAAATTCTTTAAAAATAAAAAATTATATATTTTTTTTATACACGTTAAAAAGTGAACAAATCAAAAGTATATTTATTTATATATTAATAAACAGGTATAAAAATTAAATAAAGCAACCTTTTAAATATTAATACGCGTAAATAAATTTTAATTAATTAATAATAAAATGGAAAAATAATTAATATATATATAAATGATTTTAAAAAAAATTTAAAAATTCGCTCCCAAATAAATCACGTGATAAATCAGCGATATCGTTTCCGCTCATCCAGACAAAAATTTCGTTTCCGCTCCGTTTATTCCGGGAAATTTACGTATAAAGCGCAAATAATAATTTAATTGACAGAAAATTTATTTTTATTAATTTCTTTTTAGACACGGAGAGGAGAAAAATAAAATAAAAATAAGCCAATCAACAGCGATAACTTACTTTTTAGTTTGACAGATGAAGCCACTTCGTTCCACATCTCTTCCACTGCCGCTTTATCTTTATGGACTGTTAAATGGCGATTCCATATTGTCGGCCTACAGCGAATTTCTTCGATTAACATTTCTTTACGTTCTGTCTCTGCTCTTCTCCTTCTCGCTCTTTCTTCCAGCAATCTCTTCTTGTTTGAAGCGGAAGCCATAACGATAAACGAGTTTCGAATGGCGATAAAACAACTGTTCGCTTTCGCTATTACTTATTGGTTCATGCGCGTCACGTGACCGGGTGTTGGCGGGAGCTGATGCTTTAGCGGGTAAGTTATCGATTTCCCGCTTTCGCTGGCAGAGTCTTTGACATCGCCATGTTTGATTTTTACCCGTGATTTTTACTCCAGTTTCTTATTTTAAACGGCTTAATTCGTGTGCAGTTTTATTTTATTTCTGTATTTTATCAACAGAAGTTGTGGAGTAGAAACTTAAGCGCCTGTAAAGAAACTTGTTGATTGAGAACAATTATATAGAAAAAAAATCAGTATATTATAGAGTAATTTTGTCATTTGGCTGGTTTACAAATTGTTTAACTTTATATACATGTCAATATTACTAGCATGTTAAGTAAGTGTACTGATATCTTAACAGCTTCCAGATATGACTTTTTAAAAAAGGTTTTTACTGATGTATTAAGAATGTTAAACTGTTTTCTTATTCATTTTCTGTGTAAATTTTCGTTATGAATAAAATTGCAAATTCAAGTTAGTTACTTTATGTATATAAAAAAAGTTTTTATATGCAACTACAGAACATAGTTACAGAAAAAGTAAGCTATGCTATTTTATTTAAAAAAAGTACTCATTCAGTTTTATTGAAGAATAATTACAATATATTATAAATATTGGCGACTATTTTTACAACAAATTAATTTAGTTTCTTATAAAAATATTACAATAATGTGATAAAAATAAGAAATTCAAGATTGATTCAACTTTTTTTTCCTAACTTAATTTTGTTTTTAATTAAAATATTAGAATTTGAACACCAAAATGTTATATTTTCAATTTGCTTGATTCACTTAACATGCTAATAAATGTCAACCTTCTGTGGCAATGGGTTAAGTGGCAATTTTATTGAAGTTTTACAAGTGTTATAAAACAAAGAATATTCTTTAAGACAAGAATAATCAAAATACAGACTTACAGTTTTAAGCTCAAGGAAAATCTTGACTTTCAAAATATGATTAAACATCTGTTTTTAATTACTTTATTTTGATATTGAGAACTTATCAATGTTTTCTGAGTAATAAATATTTGTAAAACAATGCAGCAAAGTTATAGAAAAACAAATTCCTCCCTGTGTTGCAGGCAAAAAGTTTTTTCGTATTCATACCTTATATAATGAAGGACATGACATAACTAACTCACAAGTCAAACTACTTATAAAAACTTCTAAGGTTCCAACCTATAGCTTAATTCTGATCTCCAAACTAACATATTATCTTTAATACCCTCTGGGGATAGTCATCAAACAAATTGTTATCAAAATAAAGTTATTGCTCATAATGATTTATGTTTGACTAAAAAGTCTTAATTAAAAAATTCTAATGTAGACAATTATTAATAAATATTTTCAATTGTTATAATTATAAATTGTTAAAATGATCAAAAATTAAATAATCAGTAGTAATATCTGGCATGACTAAATAAGAGAAAAGTGATTTATAAAACAAATATAATGAAATTTGAATTTCTTGTAAAAATCTTTCATAAATGAAAAAATATAAAAAAAGTAATATTGGGTAATTTATCCTAAAATTCATAAAAGCATAATTTACAACTTTGTACAGGATAATCAAACAAAAATCTTATTTGTGAGAACTAGATTTGCTAACACTAAGGATCTATAGTATCACATGCAATCGATTTATATTTTCTTTTAGTGCTCCAAATTTCTCTGAAGTTTTTAGTAAATCTTCAATCAAAAATAAGTCTTCAAGATTTAAGTGCTTCTTGCAACATAGCAACCAATAACAAGCATGTTTAACTTTCATGGTATAAATTGCAAATACACACTTTTCATTGATCATCCATTATCACTTAATTTTCTTTAGCCATATTCAAGAACATCAAGAGGAGAAAGCTGGGGATTTTTCCTTGGCACACAAAAAATTTAAAAAGTTTGTAGTGAACCCTATAAAATTGATGTTATTTTACTAACAGAAAATAAAATCTTTAAGTATGCTTTTTATTAATAATTAAACATTCTATGTATTTCACTTGTTCAAAAGGCAAAATAAGTCCACTCTACTCCTGAGCCCCATACAAGCTCTCAACAGTCCTGCCCATATTCCATAAATCTCCAATGCATATCATTTCTTGAATTTTATGTAATAAATAGTTAATTTTTGACAACTTTTATATCATTTCAAACACATGAATGATTCAATGAATAATACAAACAATATTTTATCAGCAATTCCAAGTATATTTAATCAAAATTAGATTAACAATGCAAAGTAAAGTTTTGCAAAATATAATATAAATTGCATTAATATACATATAATAAAAGGTATTAAAAGAACAAAAATTATCTTAAAATATTTTTCTTAATAATTTTTATTGGAAACCTTAACATATTACTAAAGTTGTCTATTTACATAATTTACAATTTAATAAAAGAAATAACATCCCAATAAATTATAAAATTATTTTAATTAATATCAGGTGCATTGCCTTCTCCTTCATAACCAGAAGCAATACCAATTTTACCTTCTGTGGCTTTCACAACTGGAGTCTCTCCTAAATTTTGTTCCAATCCTTTCCATGTGCGATTCATCAAATATTCACCTAAAGCAAAACACAAGGGCAGAAAACTATATTTTAAATATATGTAAATAACAATTTCTATATTAAAGAAAATAATTTGATTATTAATTACAATCAGAAATTAATTTTTAAATGATTATGTCCTGAAACTTATTTAATTTGATAGCATTTTAAAGCTATCAAATTAAACATTTAACATTTAATATATATTACTTAAATAATGTAAGTTCTTCAATGATACTATAGTTGACATTTAAATTATGATTAAATTTGATATAGTTTTATACAATAGTGTCTTAAACAATGTATAAGACACATACAAAGTATCTACCAAGTTTAATGCTTTATTATATCTCAAAACAATAAATAATACAAATCTTGATACAAATGATTAAAATATTAGAATGTATTTAACATGTTTGCTTTCAAATTCAATAATATTTCCATTAGGGAAAGCACCATGGAAGTAGTATTGACTTGCATGTTCTTGAGATCAGAATAATTGACTTCTTTTTATGTGGATATTTCAAGGATAGTGTACTAAGCCAATTCAAAGACTTTGAAAGGATTCAAGTCATCTCTATTTAGTATGACGTTTTCACTGATACAAAAGACATTCTTCAAAACATGGCATTAAACTTTAGAATATTAATATAAAGAAACATCACTGAATTTAAGGACAAATTGAACACATTGTAATGTAAATGGCTTCAGATGCTGATTTAAATGGTATTTGTATCTCTCAGATGTAATAAAATATTAAACTTGACTGTAGGTACCATACCTTTGAGCCATCCTGCATTAAAAATTTTAGTTTTATTTAAAAAATTTGTCACCAACAGTAAAAGCTTAAAATTCTATAGTATTTTATACATCCATAAAAATTAAATTTTATAAAAAATAATATAAAAATGATGATGTTAATAAAAAGCAATGCTATATTTTCTACAAAATATAATTTTTTCCATGGCTGTTTCACATTCATAGTTTTTCTATATTTGCTAATGTATTCTGAAATTCTACAGTATATTTTTGATTATACAGTATATATGCTGATTATCCATGCATGCTTATGTCTTAATAAAAATTTATGTCAGAAATACAAATATTGATATTAGTATTAAAAAAATAATAATAATCTTTGTTGTTAACTCTTGCTATTTAAAATGGTATGTTAAGCATCAGAACTACTTCCAGAACATCAAGGCATAAATTATATGGATTAACAATACAGTGAGTACAATTGATTCTTGAAAAACAAGGCTTAGTAATGTGTATGCTGGCAACCTCAGTTAGTAATACAAGAAATTGATAGTGAACAACAAGGTTCAATAAATTTTTCTGAATTTTCTGTTCACGGCAAAAGTTTTATCCAATTTGATCATATCTAAAGTTTATTAATTATCACTCTCAAAATGTATTTTATCCATAATATATAAACTATTATGTTAAATTTAATATGAAGTTAAAAACTAAATAAAAGAAAAATTGATTAGGTTTCATTAAAACAGACTTGCAGATTATCCATGACTCTATTACTTGTGTTTAGCCTGATAATCAAGAGTATACTATATCAAGAAATAAAAAATTATACCTGTGCATGAAATTTTTAACTATATAACTCAATAACTTACTATAAAAATTTTTTCTCATAAAAAAATAACCCACAATAAATAAAGATATTTCAGTTCAAGTGATAATTGTATTGATAAAGTATTACTGGAATTAGTATTGTAACTTAACCAAGTGCATAGATCTATAAAAGCACTAATAATTTGAAAGACAAAATTGTAAATACACAATTTATGTTATAAATTCTACAGCAAATATTGTACTAATGGGTATTGCCATACAAAAGTTGAAATTAAAACTTTAAAACTAATTTGAAAAGCTTTGTCATAATTACACTGTATGAAAGAAAAATTAGGAAAAACCTATGATATGCTTCTTGTCTAGACTTCTTAATGACTTGTGAGCACTAAGATTGGCTTTACTTTACCGTTAGACTTATTACACCATCACAGGACATCAAATTAGACTTAAAAAAACACTGTTTTTCTAAGTCTAATTTGATGTCCTGTGATGGTGTAATAAGTCTAGCGGTAAAGTAAAGCCAATCCTAGTGCTCACAAGTCATTAGGATAAACTTTTTGGAAAAATTCATAGAACTAATTGGAAAGAAAAATAAACAGCAGATCATGATTTCATTATTTTTTCATTGTTCATTATTTCTTTTATAAAACAAATTGTTAAAAGTAAATGAAACTTATGGACAATTAGTATGAATTAAATGAAATGAAAAAAATATTTACTGAGTATTGCTCAAAAATATGTAGCTGAACCATATTATTGGGCTACAATTTGAAAAAATTGTAGATTTATAAATTCCCAGTTAGATAGATGAAAGCAGAGACCAGATATGGAAGGATTAGTTAGAGACAGGAGGCCCTGATATTAACTATATACAAACTTCTGATGCAAACTGGAAGTCACATTATTTCAATTCAAAAATTTTCTCCTGAAAGGAGTTAGATAGATGATCAGCATGACTCTATTGCTAATGGAAAAGTATGATGTACAGGGACAAGATGCTACTAATTTTAGATGGAAAGCACATATTTTAAATTAAAAAAATTATCAAAAATATGATTAAAAATTGCAGTCCGACATTGTGCCGATGTTGCAATAAATAATTGCTCATTATTATTATAATTTTGACATATTATTACATTTAAAACATAATTCATTAATTACAATTTTCTGAATGTATATAATTTTAAATCTCTCTCAGAACTTTTAAACAGACAGAAAATATTGTTCATTGATTTCATGGATCCTAATATAATGGATGGATTTTAGAAACAACAAACTAAATCTATTGTATTTCCACTCTGGTGAATGTACAGTTTGAGAATATTAGTGTGTAACTTTTAATGTATGAATTCCATTAGAAAGTTATGTCAGTAGCTATTACAGTATCTATCAATACTTTCTAGATTGAAAATATTGTGTTTGTTTCCCCTGTATTTATCACAATGTAGACTCTAAGTATCTCCTATAATATCTCATATTAAGTTCATTTCATAGTTGTCCATATCATTTTTGAATACAATGGACAATAGGCACTGTCAAATGATCATTTTCCCTATTAGTATATTATATTAAATGTTATTGATATTTAAAATTTTAATATTTTCTTTATTAACTCCCTATCTAATCTTTCATGAATACTCAAGAGAATCTTCATACCGAATATAATTTGTAAAATACATTATTTTCAATTCTAATAATAATAATGTTATTATTAAATATTTCTCATCAAACTTTTTATTAAAACATATGTAAAAATATTATAATTAATAAAATACCTGCAGCCTGAGAATGAATTGTAGACAATGTTAATTTCTCATTTCTTACAGTTATAGTAGTGGTATCAGATGTGTCATCAGCTTGAGAATCAATAACACCTACAGATCGTAGCTTTCCTGAGACTAGTGAAATTTCATGTTGAACATCAGAGTTATCTTCATTTGGAACATAATTTGCAGATCCTAGAAATTTTTTGTATTCAATTGCAATAAATATGAATAAAGAAACTATAAAATAAAAGAATTAATTAACTGTAATCTTAAAATACAAAATTTCTAATAAATATTTTTAATTATTTAACTTCTGTTCAACCATAGCTCTGTAAATAAATGATGAATTGTTTAAACTATTCAATTATTTGCAAAACTATATTCAATAACTAACCTGATAATAATTCTGAAAATTCTGTTATATAATTTCCTGTCCATTGCCTTGCTTGGTTATAAGCAATTTCTAATTCAAATGGTGTAAGAATTGGTTGATAAAATTCTTTAGAATCAATAAGGGAATTTTCTGAACATGCTACAAGAACAAATATATCTATTTCTGGAAAGTTTGCTAATTTAACTACATTTAATTTACCAACAGCAAGAACATATGGCTTTTTACCAGCTTTCTTGATAAGTTCTTTTAAATGTTTAATAACTGTTAAATATTTTGATACACCAAGAGTTCCAACTAATATTCCAACCATTTGAGCATCTTTAGCTTTTTCTATGAGGTAGTAACGTTTCCTTAAGGCTTGATTGATGTTTACTGATTCCTCTCTTCCCCTTAAAGTACAAGGATTGTATGAATAAAATTTTGATGAATTTAACGTCATAATTAGACTGTTTAATGTTGGTCCTTCTGTACCAATGTAAAACATCTTGCACTGCTCAAGTAAAATATTTTCTGGTAATTTAATCTGTCTGTTACATTTAATAATATCTTCATTATTTGTATTGGATGAATCACAAGTTAAATTTGTATCACTTTGTTTTGGAAAGACCAATTTTGATGGAATAACATTAATATAGTCTTTTTTAAGTTCTTCAGTAAAGTCATCTGAAATATAAGCATTTTACTTAATAACAAAATTTATATTATTTTCAATGTGATATTAAAATAAAAATTAGCAATAATAAACCCTAAAATTTGAATATGGCATATAAAAATAAATAATGATAAAAAACAATAAATACAAACAAATATAATATATACTATACTCCCACACACCAGATACCTATGGCTGATAATGATAATTCATACAAAGTGCCAATCAAAAATGCTAGTAGTTTTCTCTACCCTTTTATCCCTCATGCCCTTTCTTCATATGTCAGTATTTCTCTTAATTCCAAAAAAAATACAGTATATTATTATGTTCTTTTTATGGCATGACTTTACAGACACTTGGCCAAGAGAACTCCCCATAGCTTTGTCCCAGAATATACAGTTTCTATATACATATCATATAGAAAACAAACCTGAATAATATCTGTCTATTTTATTACTCAAGTTATAGTCTGATAATGAACCTGGCTTTAACACTTGATTATTAAGATTAATGTTTCTAATCAAACCAAATCAAATATCAAAAGATAAAACCAAATAAAAAAATCTTGCAAGGGGGTCATTTTTTGACTGATTGCCATATTTCCCAAATGTTATGTACTGTACAATACGTAGGAAAGTAAAAGAAGATGCCAGAAAATATATGGCTGATTAAGTACTATATTAATCTTTTTATTCAAGCAAATGACATTCAAAATCTCACAAAGATTTTGAATGTGATTTTATTTGCTAGAATGAAAAAGATGAATTTCTCTTTTTTCATGCTAGATTCTTCTTGCATTAAGAGAGTAAATTGAAATGAACAGATTGAATTTTAAAAACTAAGAGAATAAATTATCAAATAGCTAATACCAAGTGAATAACAGAGAGAGAAAGAGGATACTAAAAGGAAGTTTATCTCTGTTTTATTGATCCAAGCTTCTAATTATTGTTATAAAGATTTTTCTATAAGGATAATTAGAAGCTTTGGTGTAATTGTATGTAATTTATCCAATTAATTATATAGATACAGTAGAGCATTGATTATCCGACCCCCGATTAACCGTCACTTCGACCGTTCTAGTCAGCAAATTTCAAATGCGCGCTAGTGATGTGGCACTACAATGTTTGGCTATGTCTTGGCTATTTTAATATTATTTTTGTTAAATTTTTGTGTGTTTTAGCTGGCAAATGGCCGAGCCAGACCATTGAAGGGAGGCCAGTATTTAAACGAGACTTAATTTTCTAATTATGAGTGGTTGTTTGTTTTGTGAGCAATAAAATAATTTAAAAATAATTTTTAACGATACAATAGCGACGATTATTATTTTAAAAAATTTTTGTTAGGCTTAACATCGAAGAAAATTCAACGCGAAGTAGATTAATAGCGATATACTAATATATGATACTTACAAAGAGTTGGATTACATCAGGAAGACAGCAATGCAACAAGGTTATCGGAGGAGGGAGGTGGATGAGCTTATTACGAAGTTTCAGAATCAGAATCGGCAGCATCCCAAAAAAATGACCCAGGAACGAAGAGTAGTTCTTAATTATTTTCCTTTTTTAAACAAAATGATTAGGAGAGTGGCGAACAGTAATAATCTACAAATAGTATATCGGCGTAATCCGACGATCTACAGAAGGTTAAGAAATGATAAGAGAAAGGAAAAGCGAAATAATTTACCAGGGGTTTATTCTATACCTATAAAGGATCAGCGGTTCAACTCAGACCTTGTTTACGTGGGTGCTACTACGCGGCAGTTAAAACAAAGATTAAAGGAACATAAATACTCTGTGAGTAAGAATATAGATGCCACAGTGCTCACAGCATTTGCCAAACAGCAAGAGGT